ATGCATCACCCCGGATGGAGCCACGCAGTCGCGCACCACCCTGTATGCAACCGTGCATCAACCTGTACAGAGTTATGCATCACCCCGGATGGAGCCACGCAGTCACACACCACCCTGCATGCAACCGTGCATCAACCTGTACAGAGTTATGCATCACCCCGGATGGAGCCACGCAGTCACACACCACCCTGCATGCAACCGTGCATCAACCTGTACAGAGCCATGCATCACCCCGGATGGAGCCACGCAGCCACACCACCCTGCATGCAACCGTGCATCAACCTGTACAGAGTTATGCATCACCCTGGATTGAGCCACGCAGCCACACCACCCTGTTACAAATGGAGTGATGCACCACCATGAACCTCTGGCCCACAGATATGGATGCAGTGTATATTTTTTGATAGACATCCCATACCATCCCAGAGCAGACTCCAGGTCCACAGCAACCATATGCTGCATTGAACTGGAAATTGTATGTCTTTAAGTACTATATGTCATGGTTCTAGAGCTTATTTAGGAGGACATCGGCCTGCCTCTTTTTTTGTCTCAACCCCTGAAAAGTAATTTTTCTAAACTCATTTAGTGATTTGTATGTTTTTTTGTATACATTTTGTACCCCTCCCTCCTTTCAGCAAATTTAATCATGGGGGACTCACTGTGTGGTGGGGGGGAGGGGGTGTTCCCTATTTGTTCACAGTGCTGAGCCTCTGTAGGGGTCAAATCCTGGAATTTCTCCTGCTGTATGTGTAATGGACCAGGTTGCTTGGTTAATATGCATATAGGACACAAGATGTCACTGTTTGGCTTTACAAATTACATCTTAGTGCCACAAGTGCAAAGTGTACAGCTGTGGCCAAAAGTTTTGAGAATGACACAAATACTAATTTTCCCACAGTCTGCTGCCTCAGTTTTTATGATGGCAATTTGCATGAACTCCAGAATGTTATGGAGAGTTATCAGATTAATTGCAATTAATTGCAAAGTCCTCCTTTGCCATAAAAATGAACTTAATCCTAAAAAAAACCCATTTCCACTGCATTTCAGCCCTGCCACAAAAGGACCTGCTGACATTATTTCAGTGATTCTCTCATTAACACAGGCGAGAGTGTTGACAAGGACAAGGCTGGAGGTCACTCTGTCATGCCGATTGAGCTAGAATAGTAGACTGGGTGCTTTAAAAGGAGGGTGGTGCTTGAAATAATTGTTCTTTCTCTGGTAACCCTGGTTACCTGCAAGGAAACACATACAGTCATCATTGCTTTGCACAAAAAGGGCTTCACAGGCAAGGATATTGCTGCTAGTAAGATTACACCTAAATCAACCACTTATTGGATCGTGAAGAACTTCAAGGAGAGAGGTTCAGTTGTTGGGAATTAGGCTTCAGGGTGCCCAAGAAAGTCCAGCAAGCACAAGGACCATCTCCTAAAGTTGATTCAGCTGTGGGATCAGGGCATCACCAGTGCAGAGCTTGCTCAGGAATGGTAGCAGGCAGGTGTGAGTGCGTCTGCACGCACAGTGAGGTGAAGACTTTTGGAGGATGGCCAAGTGTAAAGAAGGGCAGCAAAGGAGCCATTTCTCTCCAAGAGAAACATCAGGGACAGACTGATATTAAACTCCTGGGGATTAGGGTAAAGTCATTTTCTCTGATTAATCCCCTTTCCAATTGTTTGAGGCATCCGGAAAAAATATTATCTGGAGAAGAAAAGGTGAGCGCTACCATCAGTCCTGTGTCATGCCAACAGTAAAGCATTCTGAGACCATTCATGTGTGGGTCTGCTTCTCAGCCAAGGGAGTGGGCTCACTCACAATTTTGCCAAAGGACACAGCCAATAATAAAAATGCTATCAAAACATCCTTCGAGAGCAACTTCTCCCAACCATCCAAGAAGAGTTTGGTGATGAATGATGCCTTTTCCTGCATGAAGGAGCACCGCGCCACAAGGCAAAAGTGATAACTAAGTGGCTCGGGGAACAAAACATTAACATTTTGGGTCTATGACCAAGAAACTCCCCAGACCTTAATCCCATTGAGAACTTTTCAGAATCAGGTTTATTGGTCAAGTATTTATTTTTATGTATTGGATTTATTGAGCAAGTACAGCACAAAAGACAATGTTACATATGAAAACAATGCAACCGTTGTTTTGTACGGAGGTTTTCTAGCCAAAGGCTCATTTGCAAACCTAGTCCTTGGTTGGACTTTTAAGAACAGACAATAACAGCAAGTATGTGTGTAACAGGAAGTATGTGTGCAGCTCACACAAGGAATTTGTTTCCGGCAGTTGGTGTATCTCCGGTACAATACAATACGATAGAACAAAACAATACACATTAAACACAATATAAGACATCTTATATACAGACAGACAATGTAAATAAATTGCAAACAACATACAAGGTGCAAAGTGTATGGGATGTCTTAGATTCAGTTCAATTGTGTGTTGTGAGTGGAGCAGGGTGCAGCAGTCAGGGAAACAGGTGTAGGTTGATGTTGCAGGTCAGATGTTTGTAAGGGTGATGGCTTGAGAGAAGAAACTGTTCCTGAGGTGACTGGTCCTGGTCTGCAGACTTCTGAATCATGTGCCAGAGGGGAGGAGCTCAAAAAGACAGTGTCCAGGGTGTGATGGGCCAGTGATGATTTGTTCTTGCCCTTTTCCTCGTTCTTGAAGTGTACAGGTCCTAGAGGGAGGGCAGGGGGGCACCAGTGATTTGTTCTGCTGTCCTAACTGTCCGTTCCTGTCCTGTTTGGTTGCTGTTCCAAACCAGACTGTGATGGAGGAGCACAGGACAGACTCGACGACTGCTGAGTAGAACTGGATCAGCAGTTCCTGTGGGAGTTCGTACTTCCTCAGTTGTCGCAGGATCCTCTGCTGGGCCTTTCTGAGGATGGAGGAGATGTTGCTCTCCCACTTCAGGTCTTGGGAAATTATAGTTCCCCGGAACTTGAAGGTCTCCACAGGTGACACAAGGGTGCTATGTATGGTGAGGAGGACCAGTGCTGAGGTGTGTTTCCTAAAGTCCACTGTCATCTCCACAGTCTCGAGTGTGTTCAGCTACAGATTGTTCTGGCTGCACCAAAGTACCAGCCGCTCAATATGCAGACTCGTCGCCATCTTGGATGAGTCCGATGACTGTGGTGTCGTCTGCAAACTTCAGGAGTTTTAAAGCTGGGTTCATGGAGGTGCAGTCATTGGTGTAGAGGGAGAAGAGCAAGGGGGATAGGACACAACCCTGAGGAGTAGCAGTGCTGATGGTCCGTACAACAGAGATGATCTCCCCCAGCCTCACATGCTGTTCCCTGCCAGTCAGGAAGCTGGTGATCCACTGACAGATGGCAGGAGATACTTTCAGCTGGGAGAGTTTGGAGGAGAGGATTTCTGGGACAATGGTGTTGTTGCCGAACTCCATTATCCCAGAAATCCTCTCCTCCAAACTCTTGGTCAATCCTCAAGAGGCATATGGACAAACAAAAACCCACAAATTCTGACAAACTCCAAGCATTGATAATGCAAGAATGGGCTGCCATCAGTTAGGATTTGGCTCACAATTTGATTGACAGCATGCCTAGGCGAATTGCAGAAGTCTTGAAAAAGAAGGACCAGGATTGCAAATATTTGCATACACTTAATGTACGTAATTGTCAATAAAAGCATTTGAAATGCTTGTAACCATAGAAACATTTGACGGTGCCCCAATACTTTTCACAATGTAGTGTACATTATTGATATCATTGAATCCCTGGGATCAATAAAGTCCATCGTAATCTGATGACAGGATAAGACTCCTCTAGATAAAATAGTGATACTTTATTAATCCATATGGGCAAATTTTGTTTTTCCTGTCCCATCTTGGTCTCTGTGACACACGTACACAGGTTCTCACCAAATTCTGAGGAGCTCAGCTCAGCCGATTTCACTTGCACACAACATGTGCCATCACGGACAAAGTAAAATTGGCTTGTTTGTTAAGGATGTTTGAATTGATGCTGAAATATCACTTCTTTTCGATCTGAATGTTTAATTCTGACAGTCAATCATAACATTAAAATGGTGATTTTTTTGCACCTGTTTTTTTTAAATGTTTACATTACAGTGATATTGTATATTATAGTGAATAGTGATATTTTATTAATTCCTGTGAGGAAATTCTCTTTTTGCCTACCCAATCTTGGCCGACCTTCTGACCACAGGCACAAAAACTGGTAATACTTTATTTGGATAATCCACCTACAGAGGATTAACAGTATTCATAACATTTCAACTGTTTAGTTGAGATTCAACAATTCAGCTGTTTCCGTGGGTCTGTAGAAGTTTAACAGAATATACAATATATAGAGCATATGGGGGCAGGAGTTACCAAATTGCCTACAGATGTGTGAGTGTGCCCTGTAATGGATTTGCACTCCATCTTGGGTTGTTCCTGTAGCCTCTGGGACAGGCTCCAGACCACTCACAGCCTATGTCATGTATGGTGCTTTTAACTAAGAGCATGTTTTAAAATATCTGAGCTAAACAAATCATTTTGGAGCTTCTTTGGATTAATTTGGGGCTTCTGCCTGCGTTCCCCAGTCTAGCAATGCCTCTGTTGTAAGGTGAGGTATTTCCTAATAAATCTGGCAGAGGTTCTCGCACAAAGCATTCAGTGGTTGTTTATGAACCAAAGCCAATAATAGGCAATCAGTCAGTAAACTGTAGCAGGACAGAGCAATACCAGAAAGAGTCAAGAAATACTAAGTACACTGGTAACCAAGGAACCCGCTCAATACGGCGTTAAACATGCAATACCGTACATGGTACTAACGATTACACAGGATATGGACTTAATAAGGATGATCGAGGAAGGGTGACTGGTTCTGTTAGCAATGAAAATCTAATCATCACATTATTACTTTACTCATATGACACTGTATTAATACTAAAAAGCCCTAACACGCACGTTGCAATCGCGCTGTTTTTTAATGTCTAATGTATTTTTTTAAGATAAAAAAAAAAAACGAGTATGCTTTGAGCCTATTGCAACTGCGTGGATCTGGGACCCGGAAGAGGCTGGTATTGGAACCGAAGTCCGTCATCTAGGAATCCGGCATCAGCTGCGGGGGAAGCGGCTGTTTTAGACTCTCAGCTGGCGAGGATTCAGAGAAGCAAAATGGGTATCTCCGACTCCAAGCTTAACTTCAGGAAAGCGGTGGTACAGCTCACAACCAAGACCCAGGTTCGTTTAGTCGATGTATGTGTAGATGTGTTTCAAAGACTGATCGAGACGGTGACTGGCATGGGGGGATGCCGGAGACCTGCGCTGCTGACTCCGATGTTTCACCGTCGACTTTCCAGTCATTAAATCGTTTGGGATGAGGAATTTATATTTTGCCAGTGGAATATACTACTTATCCGTATCTGTGCAAAGTAAAAATATGACAGCATGGAGAGCTAATGGTCAGGACATGGATAAATGACATATGCATCAATGTGATTGCATATATATAATCAAACAGGGACATTTGAATAAGCTATAAAGTGCAGCGCTATGCAAATACTTTAAGTTCCATCTTTTAGCAGATGAAATGCTGTTAATAATGAGAATGACCATTAGACGAGTCTTGGCTGTAAAAAAAACAGGTTTGTTGACAGCAGATGTTAACATAATATTTTTATATAATAAATCATGGCTTCCCTATGCGGCAGGTGTATTAAAGTGAATGCGCGAGGAAAGATAGAGGAAATTACAACTAGCTTATCGTCCTCCAAAGAATGAACTTAACATAGTTTCAGTTTTTTCCTGCATTGCAACTCAATGCAATATATTGTTTGTGAAATATGCTACCTAAATGAATCAGATATACATATGCCTGTGTGTGTGTATGTATATATATATAATGAGCTCCCTGCTCTTTGCAAGTTATACAATGGTATGGTTTTTAATTCCGAAATGGGTGTTTCTGGTGTGTTTTCCACGTTTCCAGTACTGTCCTGCTCTCATGGTCATTTAACCCAGTCCTCTTGTCCCCAAGCCCGTGGAGGCCACCGACCACACCTTCTGGGACCAGTTCTTTGCTGAAACGGCTAACTCTGTCCAGGATGTGTTCACCATGGTGCCAGCTGCTGAGATCCGAGCTGTCCGTGAGGAGTCGCCCTCAAACCTCGCTACTCTCTGCTACAAGGTAAGCTGTCCTGAGCAGCCTGTCAGCAGGGCTGTGCATCCTGCAGTTTCGTAAGGTCTTTGAAGGACCATGCTGTTTCTGGGAAGGTGATGCGCAACCAGCAAAAGAGAAAAGTCGGTCCTTGCTCAAGGGCCCAACGATGAGATCACTCTGCCAACCAGGGGGTTTGAACCGGAGAGAGACACAAGTTGCAACAATAGACTCTCGCAAGACTTTTCATAAACTAACCTGTCAATTTGAGGAACTCTGACATTAGACCTTATGCCTGTGTGTGAGTGACACACGGACACTTTTCTATCCATCCGGTCTTCCTTTGAGTTGAAAGTTGGAACCTGATTTTGTGCTTCAGGCTTCTTAATTACTGCTTATGTAATAGTGCGTTCCTTTTTCTCTCGGAACTCGGAAATTCCGAGTTGAGTGACATCACGTCCGACAATCTCCCGTTCGAGCTACCCACATCTCGGAACAAACATGGCTGCCTCCATAAACACGTTGCTGTGTGTTGTTGCTTTATATTTTAGCAGATTTGGAGTTTTCCAAATGGAGAAAATGGAGAAATGGAGATTTTTCCGAGAGACAAACAAGAAACATGAACTAGTCAAACCACATTAAAAGCTTTATAAAATATTTTAGTACATTCATAGCGATATTCTTTTTTCGATCGGTAAACAAACTACAAACAAACCAAGTCGCCATGTTGAAATTACGTCACAGGGGCAACTCGGACAACAAAATCTTGTCCGACTTCAAGCTCATAAAAGGGGCGTGTTTCCGACGGGAAGTGACGTTTTTCGTGACGTTTCGTGACGTTTTCATCCGAGTTCCGACTTGGAGAGAAATAATCGAACGCACCATAAGTGCAGAAACTGATTGGGTGACATCTGTCTCTCAATGGCATATCAGTATGCGTGTCACCTGACTGAGTTTGCTTCTTTTTGTGTGCACACAGTCAGTGTGTTTCATGAGGTAACTGTGTGTCCCTGTTTGTTACTCCTTTGTTGCCAGGCAGTGGAGAAGTTGGTTCAAGGAGCTGAGTCAGGCTGCCCCACTGAGAAGGAGAAGCAGGTGGTTTTGAGCTGTGCCCGGCTGCTGACCCGGATCCTGCCCTACATTTTTGAGGACCCCGACTGGAGGGGATTCTTCTGGTCCACGGTGTCCGGCATTAGTCAGGACAGGGTGAGCATAGGAGGCGTGTAATACACATACTCACCCCCATGTTGGAACAAATTTGGGGGTGATTTTTAGTGAAATCGTATGCCAGTCCAGCACTATAATTCACTGACATGGCACAGTAACTGTCTGGCCTGAGGGACGCCACCTTTTAACATTTCCAGGAATCCCTACAACACTAAGTTCTGTGCTTTCAGTATGGGTCACTGGGCTGATGTGTTCCTCCATTCCTGCGTCCCTCATGAGCCTTTTGACTTCTGCTATCCTTAGAGGGTGGCATGGTGTCCGTGCTGTGAGATCCGCGAGCTCCCTGCCACCTTGTTAATAAAATGCACCAGCACCAGAGAGAGAGAGTAGCTGAAAAGACCAAAACTGTCTGTTGGCTGTGTTGCTGGAAACACATCCAGTGAATGTATAGAAGTTGCAGATAGGCTTAGAAACAGAACGTCCAGGGTGGTGTTCTCTGGAATACTTCCCATGCCATGCATAAGGAGATTAAACACATGGCTAAAAGGGTGGTGTAGGAAAGAGGGGTTCAGGTTTATGGGGCACTGGAGGACCTTCCGGAACAGGTGGGACCTGTTCAAGCCGGATGGGTTGCATCTGAACCGGAGGGGAATCAGTGTATTGGGGAGGCATATGTGTAGAGTAGTTCAGGAGTGTTTAAACTAGGAACTGGGGAGGCAGGAAGGTTGGCAAAGAATATAGGTGGGTAAGCCCCAAATAATATTAAAAGTGGGCACTGTAAATGGCATACCATTTGCTGTCTGTACTTAAGCTCTAGGAGTGTTAGCAACAAAGTTCATGATTTAGAGGCTTTTATTTCATCTTTTTATTTATGACATTATAGGAATAAGAGAAACATGAGTGACAATGATGGAGAAGAACATAATATGGATGGTTTCACATTATTCCGTAACTGTTGAAGACACACGGGAATTTTTTAAAAGCACATTATTTCAAGTGCAAGAGGACTTCATACCTGTTTCCAGCAAAACTAAATCTAGGAAACTGCAGCCAAGGTGGTTTACTAAGGAAATTAAGAATAAAGTCAGGAGGAAAAGGGCTCTGTTCCACAGATGGAAAATAACTAATGATGTCTGAATAAAGGAGGAGTATCTAAGTCTACAGGTTGAGTTAAAAACTAATGTTAGACTCGCTAAGAGAAATGTCGAAAGGTTGCATTGAAGGCTAAGGATGACATTAAAAGTTTCTGCCAATATTTTAACTCCAAAAGAGCACTAAAAGCTGAAATTACTAATCTGCAGGAAAGCTAAGGGTCTTATAAATGAAACAGAGCATGTGAGCGGAGTGGAGCGGTGAGAATTTCTGGGTAGATTTTGGCCCGCCTCAGAATCGTAGTGTGAGCGGTATCGTAGCGAGACAGAGTGACCCCTCTAGCCTTAATTAAAATACCGCTCCGCGCTCTGACCAAATTCCGCCCGCTCCGCTCCACTCTGCTCATATGCTCTTAACTGAAAATGAAATTGATATACAGTGGTACCTCAGAACTCGAATTTAATACGTTCAGAACTCTGGATCGAATCCTAAAAAGTTTGAGTTGTGATCAAATTTTCCCCATAAGAAATAATGGAAAACCAATTAATTGGTTCCCAGCCGCAAAAAATTACACCTAAATATGTTTTTTTAGCATTTAAACACAAAATGAAGCAGATAAAACAAGAAGAACATATACTGTACTAAACACATCTAAGCACACAAACAATAATTTGTAAAGCAAGAAAATAAATGTATCTGAACAATGTGTCCTGCCCCGATCCTCCGCTCCTTCCGTGTGCCACGCCCCCTCGTTAACCCCGTGTGGAATCCTCTTGTGATCAGCTGTTCCTGCTTGTTGTCATTTGTCCTCTGCATTTAGTCCGCGTTTCAGTTTGTTTTGCCAGTCCGGTCATTGTATTGTCCGTCTGCGTTTTGCCTGCCTTACCTGTAATTAAACCCCGTATTCCCCGATACCCCCGATATATTAAAATAAGAAATCTTTATTTTTAAGTGTATTTTATTATATAATAATAATTACTGTTACTGTCTATCATTGTCTAAATGTATTTTTTCTGTCTAAATATATGTATTCAGCTAGTGTAAACATGCACGGTGCTATCACAGCGAATGCGAGGCTGAGACTGAAGTGCTACCCTTTGTTTCCGCTGAGAGACGTGCCCCGACTCATTTCCCCACGAGTACAAGTTATCTTAGGTCAGCGTTCACGGTTTGACTTCTGAGATTCAGATTGAGTTCTAGGTAATTTTTTTTTTTGAACTGGTTGGTTCGACTTTTAAGAAATTCGAGTTCTAATGAGTTCGAGAACTGAGGTACCACTGTAGTTTAATTATTGTTTTGCACGGGTATTCACCGCAGAGGACACAAATAACATACCGACTCTCATTACTAATCTAGTGTTGTCTATGACTAATGTATGTATAACTGAAGCTGATGTGCTACAAAACCTAGCTAAGCTCAAAATAAATAAATCACAGGGCCCTGATGGCACCTTGCCTATAGTTTTAAAAGTGATGATGGATATTATTTGCCGACCTTTACTACTTCAGAAATCTTTATCTGCTGGTGTGGAATCTTCTGATTGGAAGCATGCTAATATAATGGCAAGGGGATAGAAGTAATCCAGCAAACTATAGGCCAGTTAATTTAACTGGAAAAGAAATGGAAGCTATAATCCAAGTAAGTATAATCCTGCTGTCCTGAAATTGTACCAAACCATGAATTTTATATACCGTTACTCCGTTACTGCTCTTGGAGCCGCAATATCAGATGGATTATGTAGCCACGTGTGAGGCTACGGAACACTGACCAGTCCTTGTACTGAACTGTCTTTCCTGGGGGGAGGGGCTGGGGGTAATCAGATTTGGGTTGGGGTTCAGCGCATTTAGGTTAAAGTTTTACATGACAAACAGGTCAGCCAGATTTGCAAAAGAAAGAAAGGAAGTCAAGTTGTTCTGTGATTGAATGAACACTACTGAGAGGCCATGAGGGTAACCTGGTGGTGCCCCCTTAGCCCCCCCACCCAAGCCCAGCTATGTGTGCTGTTTGTAAATAACAAATGGCGAGAGAGGATAGGTAGCAGTTGTTTAAGTATAGGCTGTTCCCTACGTGGCTGCACTGTCACTCTCATACAGAGCTGGTACGTTACTGGCAAATGCTTTGTGTTTATACATCAGGCTCCTGCACTAACAGCTGTCTTTCCACAGGCGGAAGATGTGGAGGACGATGAGGAAGACCCCCATCCTCTGGCTGAGTCTCTCCTGCTGGCCCTCGCCGACTTGCTGTTCTGCCCTGATTTCACTGTACAGAGCCAGCTGAGGGGAGGGGGCCCAGTAAGCACCCAGAACCGGGCCCTGTACCTGCCTAGCTCTGATCCGGGGGGTGAACTACCAAGCGAGTTTACTGCCCTACCCAGATTTCTGGAGGCTTACATCTGAGTACTGGGTTGGGATGGACAATACCACTGATTTTTTTTTTTTTTTATTTGTACCAAGTAATACTGGGTTAGGTATCCCGAGATTGATATTCAGTGGCAACCCTTTTGTGACCCCTTGCCAGGTTGCACAGTAAATTTGCTGGAATGGGGGTGGGGGTGTTGATGATGAACTTTGTTGAGGAAACCCTATGCCAACTTAGCAAACAGATAAGGACCATTGTACTACCTTTTAACTCTGATTTACCCGGCTCTGATGAGTTCTCAGTAGGCCTGCATAAACCTCTGGGTATGTAAACTCTGCGAGGCAGATGTAATATCGTGTTTTTTCCTTTTTCAGGTATAATTTTGTAGCAACATGCCCCTAAAAACATAGCATGATATGTATGAATAGACCATACATGCCTAAAATCGCAATCTATGTGCCAGAAGAGCTCAAAATGACAAGAAGCCATGGGTGGGTCAAGGGAAAAGCAGGATTTTCACACAAAAACATGGGAGGAGAAGTGCAAAGAGAGACTGGTTGCATATTTCATCGCATGCTGCATATTTCATCGCATGTTTGAAATCTGCAGGGGAAAATGCAAGTCTGGTTTGAGCTGGAATTTCTCCGCCTCCGTGTTTATGTATATAGGGAAAATATCCACAAGGTGTGGTCACCCTCTCAATCCACAAGGACTTTTACAGAAACAGAAAACATACATATTCCATTAATGTGCAAGTGACATGTGATGCCAAATTACAGATCACAAACATTGTGGCAAAATATCCTGGCTCTGTCCATCACACAGTAAAAAAAAAACAAAATGGTGGAAATGTATAAAGTCACTTAAAAAATTTGAAGCGATCCATGAAATGAAATATTTCAATTTGCCAGTTTAACCTGTAAAAAATAGGTTCAACTGTAAACATAGGAAAGTTATGCTCAAATGAACAAACAAATAATTTTTGACTATTGGAATGAGAAGGAACACACTGAACGAACAACAGCTTTGTTTTATTTTTTCAGTGTATCACGGTTGCTAACCAGAATCGTTAGCCATGACTGTTGGGGATAGTCACCATCACCTTAAATATATGTGAAGCATAAATGACGTCTCCTGTTTATTGTAAATACATCGAACACTAGTTGAAATGGAGCTGGCTGATAAAAATTTGCCAATAATTTTTTATGAAATAAATAAAAATAATGTGTCCCAAGTAACCATGCATTTCCAAAAGCCCTGTTTATCTATGGTAGATAGCACTGTTTCAGCTGGGTGAAACACCTCCAATGTTAAATGACAGGAAACATCTATCTGCGAACCGGCCAAGACCATGTTTATGCTGCGCTTTCTGATGTACACTCTTCCCCCGGATATGTAGAACTCATAGTAAACCCCACTGCTGTCTAAGGACTGACTGGTCCATATCTCCCCCCCCCCCAGTGCTAGAAATCTACCACCATTGGGGCATTTCTTTTGTTCTCCTGATCTCAGCACTCACCCTGAGCAGCTGCAGCAGACATGAATCTGCAGGAAGATGTGATGAACCAGGTAGAGTTCAATGCGCGCTGTGACCTGTAGCATAAATCATTAAACAAACCGTAATGGGGGACTCCAACTCCAGGATTGTAATTCAAAATCACAAGAGTCAAGAAAACGGGTAATAGGTCAGTAAATCAATGCAAAACAGGGAAAAATCGCAACATAATTACCACAAAAGTTGTAAGACAAGAAATGCATTCTTGGGGTTCAATCAGTGGGAGAGGAGGATGAGGAAAGGGTAACTGGCTTTGCTAAATCCTGTGCTGGATGTTAGATGTGGGAGCAGGCTGGTTAGGGAACCTGACAAGTTGGCATAAATAAGCCGTTAATGTCACATCATCTCTGTGTCTGGAGTTTTTTGTAGGGTAAATGTGACCCCATAGGGTAATGTTTGCTCTCTGCTTCACCGTGTTGTTTGCACTGCCCTTTGCGATGGGTCCCTCTGTTGGCCATCTGACCAAACAAGCAAAAAATGGGTCTGTTCTGAAACACACGCCCTGGTATCCACAGCATACCTTGTGTGGTTGTAGGGAGGCTCTGGTGTGGAGCTGTGAGCTGACTGTTGCTCCCCATAGGACACAGCAGAGAGCACCCACTTGGACAGCTGTGAGTACATCTGGGAGGCCGGTGTTGGGTTCGCTCAGTCCCCCCCTCTCGATTACGTGCACGACCTCAACAGGTAGGGGGTGCTGAGCCTCTGATTTTCATTCTGCCGCCCCCTTTCCCGCTGTGTTTGCTGTTATTAACCCTTTCCCCTATTTCCTCAACTCCTTCGCTACCATGCAGGACTGAGTTGCTCAGGCTGCTGTTGACCTGCTTCTCGGAGGTTATGTTCCTGCCTCCCTCTCCTCAGCACAGCGCCCTCAACCCTTGGGTCACCTTCTTCTGCTCCACAGAAAACCGGTCAGGAGCCCTGACTCACAGACCCTCTCATGCCCTCACACTCTGGTGCTTTAAAGATGGGTATGTGTGAGTGTGTATCCTGCAAAGGACTGGCAGCCCACAGTGGCCAGATACAAGGTTGGAAGATGGATGGAATACCCTATAGTAGTAACAGACAGGATTTGTTAAATAATGTTAATATATACCTGGTATAGGTGACAATCCCCCCCTGTGTTCCTGAGTAGGATATGCAGTATTTATCCCTCATTCCTGAACAAACTCACATCAGAATCCACTTAAGTTAAAAAGTTTGATAGACACAGACCGTTAAGATTTTGGACACCTTTTATAAATGAAGCAATGCTTTATTTGGCAGTCATACAGAGGAAGGAATTCTTCAGTGCTCACATACCTTGCTCTCCCGTGAGACACACGCACAGGTGGGGCTGATACCGGCTCAGCTGTTTTTCAGGCGCCCCTGGAGCATTTCTTTCCCTGTTTGGGGCCCAGCAGTAATGTGACTATTCTGCCCATCGTGATTTTTGAACCAGTATCCATTCATTTACAAGCCCTGAGATCTAACCCCCTGAGCCACACTCCAGCCTGGTTTCTGGTAGCCATCACTCCCAGCTTTCTCTCCTGTGTTCTTTGGTGAAATCCCTCTTAACACCGAACCCGGTTTAAAAGGACCCCCCGCTGCCCCATTCCCGCAGGCATGCCCTGCCCCTCTTCACCTCCCTCCTCAATGTGGTCTGCGCCTACGACCCTGTGGGCTATGGCATCCCCTACAACCACCTGCTCTTCTCCGACTCCCGTGAGCAGCTGGTGGAGCACGCCGTGCAGATCCTCATCGTGACCCTGGAGCACCAGTACGGAGGCCCTGCAGAGAGCCCCAGCACGGAGCGGCCCAGGACCCCGTCCAGCACCAGCGATGAGGAGGTGGCATCTTCGTTCGGAATTTCTCTGTCCTTTTTAGGATTTACAGATTAGGCAAATGGCATTTTGCACAGGGCCGGATTTCCAGGGTCCCTAGCAGAGCTTTACTTGGGAGGAAGAAAATCAATGATCATTTCACTTCCTCTGTAGCTAGAGCCGGCCATGTATACAATATACAGATTGTCCCTGATTGATGACTGGGTTCTATTCTGGCAGACAGGAATTAGTTGAGATGGACACATATTGGAATTGGTATATGCAGTACAACTTCTTACATGAAGAAATAGGTTCCCAGGCTTCAAAAAAGTAATTCTTTATGTCATATATATGACATGAATTCTTTAATAATTTTGTAATTAAAAAGTATGAAAAACATTGCGCTTAAATCTTTAACCTAATCGAAATAGCGTAAGAAACCAAAAGTCGTAGTCTGTCGTGCATTACTAACTCACACTGCTTCGTTTTCTCTCATATTGCTAAGATTCTTTGTGTTTTCTTGGTGGTGTTCTGGGATGGGGAGAGGTGTCTTAGGCCCAATCCCAATTCTACCCCTTACCCCTACACTTTCCCCTACCCCTCCGTTTGGCGCGTTCACGTGTAGGGGTAGGGGTGTCTCAATTCTCTTTTGATTGGAGGGGTAGGGGTAAGGGGAAGGGCTAGATAGCCCTCGAAACGAAGATTTTTCGGGACCTCACTTCAAACGAAGGGCTAAGAGAAATTTACAACATTGCTGCCCCATAAACAAGCAAGCAGACCCATAAATGTTAAGTAATTTTTGCCATTAATAAGGATTTTTATGACATTTTTTCATTACATGTATATTACCATCAATCTTGTGTTTGTGTTTACGGTGATGTTCTGTAAAGAAACGTTTGGAAAAAAAAAATCGCTAAAGTTTGCTTGCGGATAGCACTGATTGCACAATATTAGGAAATATATTTTTATGTCATATAACGTTACCCGGTGACTGACTGCATGTGGTAACGCGTTGTTTTGTTTTGCTTACGGCCATATGTGTACATGTAAATGAACGGTGCTTACACTATTCGTACTTATTGTAACATGACAACATTTTTGTAAATTATATTCTGTATAGGGACAGCTGAGGAAACCCGAAGGCTCATATGTTTTCGAGGTGAAAACGAACATCTGTTTTTAAAGTCCAAATACGGCGCAAAAAAACTTCTCGGATACTCAATAGTTTTCTTGAACATTTTTGTACATGATTCAGTAATTTCCCTTTTATCATTTTATTACCATTTATCTTATCGCTGCCCAAAATTTTGACATACATACACTATTTATTTTTTTCGGTCATATGTGCAAGTGGTTGTAAGTTGCATAGATCATAATTTGGGGACAGACTTTATTATTATTATATTTTTTGACTTTGTCTGGGACACCCTGGAAGCTGCTTAGTTTGCTTGTCTGGATCCGGCCCTGATTATGCATGTAAATAACAATTTTAACGATCAAGTATAGAAATATCCTTATCGGCTGCAAGGTTGTTTTTGGAGTTAAAATGCAAAACTGGTTTACTAACTTCATTTGACTAACAGTGAAATTGATTCCTATGATGCAGGTGACAAACACTTGGGATGAACTTGCTTGGTCCCCAGTTCAAGCTAAAAGGTATGTCCCCTTAGCAAGGAATGCCTTGGGTTTTGTTGACGGTTATTTCCGTGCTTTGTTTCCAGCCAGAGGGACCAGAGAACCTCTTTGTGAATTATTTATCGAGAATCCACAGAGAAGAGGTAACTTCCTTCTCCAATCTTGCTGTCTGCCTGTCGATTCTCGATTTTTCTTAGAGATGTGGAGGAAATAAATATGAAGATGGAAGATTTTCTGAAGCCTCTTGTCTTCTCTCACCAGGACTATGAGTTTGTCCTGAAAGGCCTGGCTCGTCTTCTGACAAACCCCCTCACCCAGACATACCTACCCAACTCTACAAAAAAGATCCAGTTCCACCAGGAGCTGCTGGTGCTTTTCTGGAAGCTGTGTGACTTCAACAAGGTAGAAGACCAGTTAAATATCTGTATGCTAACACCACTGTTTCAGGGGGAAGTTTCTAACACAGGGATGTCAAACTCAAGGCCCACGGGCCACATCCTGCCTTTGGTACAATTGCATCTAGCCCGTGCTATAATGTCTTAATATAAGAACTGGCCCACTGGTGTATAGCATACACATCACTGGCACTACAATTCCCAGACTGCACAGCGATAGTTGGTGCATTGCCATGTCAGTCAAGGGCTGCACGATATCACATCGCAATATACTCACAATTAAATGGCGCATGTGCAGTAATCATCAGGGCTTTAGATGTTACTATATCTATACAGATGTTTACTTACGGCCACAATTTGGTAAGCAGATTAGAAGTGTTACTAAAACATAAGTAATTTGTATAAACTCAGCATATCCTTATGTTTAATAAACATGTGGGACTTACAACTGCAAAAAGTACCACCACACCACCAAAGTCTTTTTGCCTTGCTTGTCCACAATATCTCCTCTTTCAAAAGATGTTATGGCTGCGGAGCTGTTTCTCTCTTCACCACCACTCCAGTGCTTATCACTTCCATGGTATACCAAAACAACAGTATGTGGTGTGATTCGCTGGCCAAATTAAATCAACCAATGTATCCTTCATATTTGGGGTGGGACAAGAGCGGCATACAGGGATTTTTACCGTCCTTTGTACTTCTGTTCTTGAGTATTGGACCTGGTCTTCAATGGAAGACGACGTAAAACAGGTACAAAGGGACAGAAACACAGTCAAGTGCGCATATTGCGAAACACCCCTCGTGTGTGACACTGCCTCAGGTCTAGGCACGCGCTTGTGCAGGCTGTAGAATTGATACCATGAAAAATTGTTATTGAATCAGTTTTATAAATGATGAAATCGATACTTGCAGTAATTTCAATACTTTTAACAACACTAATGTGCTATAATTTTATATGACTGGCAGCCATGGATTAAATTATGGGGGAGCTAAAGGGAACTTGGCTCCCATGAAAAAGATACAAGCCCCCTTGTAAGTCTCCCCTGAGACATTTAGGGGAGCTCTAAAAATTGTCCACTTTTGTGTTACAGGTTATTTTTTATTCTCCATACAATAATGTTCCTGAAAAAAAAATTGAATAAATATGTCAGTGCTGTGTGTCTCCATTAATTTACGCAATTCTGGGTCTGTTGTGGCCATCCATGCGTGGCAGTACTGCCCTTGAATTGTAAGATTTACGTAGCTAACTCCTCATCATTGAGTGGGTGCGGTATTTGAATGAAGAAAACAAACAGTGTTTTGATTCAGTATTTTGGGGCAGTTTATAGATAGTCAGAATGTCAAATTGGAAACAGTCCTGCCAGAGCATCAGAAAGAGGCAGAGGGAGAGAGAGGGGGAGCTCTGAGCCACAGACAGTTATTTTATTTCGCTGTGGTTATAAAAAGGTGAGCTAAATAATGCAGCGTTTTTTCTGTTCAAGTGATGTGTAGCTCTTCAAAGGGTTTGTATCAGAAGCAGAAAGATGCTACCTATGTCCCTCTGCCTTGTGATTTTCTCTTTTGTTTACTTTGATTAGGCTATTAAACTTCCTGTGTGATTTTTATGTTATTGTGGTTGTGCCTACATGAAACGTTACTGACAGTATAAATTGACTGCAGTAGTAATAGTAGAATGTTTTTCGCAGTTATTCACCCTTTTAATGGCTGCGCTGCCGCGTGCTTATATGTATGATATGCATTGACTTGGGGAGTCATGGTGCACACTGGAAAATAGGGCTCTCCCAAAAGCCGATGTGTAATTCGAACCCTGCTGGCAGTGCAGTAGGTTTGTTTACACCAGCATCATCACAGACACGTGAGTAATGTGTTGCACTATGATGTTACAATATCAACGACATCACTTGGTGATAGAAATTTTCAGTTTCATTATAATCTTGTTGGGCCATCATTGCATATGCGGTCTGTAGTTGACGACGCATAACTATGTATCTGTAATTGGCTCCTAGATTAACAAATGCTAAACGCAATTTTTGCTTTTCTCCATTTTTCATAAAAGTGAAAATCCTCTGCAGATTTTTCAGTTAAATGAAAATACGTGTAGGTCTTTCTTAAAAGCAAAGTGGCCCAAAGTGGCCCAATTGAACATTAAGTGGGGGATACCTATAGCATAGTACAGAAGCTGTCATTTTAAACCAAAATACACAAATCCAACAGATGAGAAGCATGTCTGCTCCATGGTAAGAACACAGGTTTGTTCTGTTTACAAAAACCAAAATACTCAAGAATAAAGATAATGTCGGTGGTTGTTGATCATCCTGTTCATGCTCCCATCTGGAGGGTTTGTTGACCTTCTCACCCGTGGGCAGAGACATCCCACACTCCAAGTGGCCAGATGCCTCTGTATGCCTTTCAGAAATTCCTGTACTTTGTGCTGAAGAGCAGTGATGTGCTGGATGTCCTGGTGCCCATTCTGTACCACCTGAATGATTCCCGTGCCGACCAGGGTGAGTGCGGTCATGATGTATTTCACTTTTTGAAGCGTCCCCTTTTAGCTAAACCTTGGGAGGCCCACGCTGTGCTGGGGTTCTTCCTACCCGAGCCCTCAGTCGCATGCTTCCCCAATTAGTCCCTTGATTTAGCTAAATGGGCCCTGAAATGGTCAGTGGGTAACTGAGAGCTGGGACACTCATGAAACAGTCTGCCTGCTGGACCCTGTAGTGCAATGCTCTAGCATTTCCGCAGCCCGCGTAGGCCTGCTGCACATCGGTGTCTTCATCCTGCTGCTGCTGAGTGGTGAGAGGAACTTCGGCGTGCGTCTGAACAAGCCGTATACGGCGCACGTGGCCATGGATGTCCCTGTCTTCACCGGGACGCACGCCGACTTGCTTGTCTTGGTGAGGCTCTGGTCGGGTTGCTTGTTATCTCGGATGCCTGTTCTGGGAATTGTGATGGTTTTGATAGACCTGTAGCGCGTGCTGACCAGGGTTTTTGGGGGCACATGGCAGGTTTACTTTGATATGGGTGCCACTTGCAGGTGTTCCACAAGATCATCACCAACGGACACCAGCGTCTGCAGCCATTATATGACTGCCTGCTCACCATCATCGCCAACGGTAAGCGCCACGCACCATCATTAATCAGGGTCTGTTGAACACACACATCACTGAGCTCTCAAAAAATTCCCAGTAATCTCTCCATTATCACAGATTACAGCAGATCCTTTTCAAGGTTCAGGTTTCAAGTTTTAATGTGACTTTGATCATGACCTTAGTGTTTCTTTCTTATTCTTTCTTTCTTTTTTCCTGTTTCGTGTACGGTTCTGCATGAATGATTTAATAATGGATGACACACACCCTTGAGGTGACAAAAATTCCCATATTGCGCTTTTGTTATGCATGGTTTTGTATTTTACTGCACTGCTGTTTTGTCCCTTCTTTGCACTGTTGTCGGTCCCATTGTCTCCCATGCATCTGTCACCTCCCCTGCAACTGTGGCACAAGAATTTCACTGTGTTCCTCAGAACACATGTGACAATAAAACTTGAAATTTGAAACTTCTCTCCCTGTGTATGTGCTTACTAGAAGAGACTTTATTACTCAATAGCTTCCTTCTTTAGACATTACCCAAAAGTACTGCCCCTAATATCCTAAACCCTTTCATTGTAGTTTCACCCTACCTGAAAAGTCTGTCCATGGTGGCCTCCAACAAGCTTCTGCACCTTCTGGAAGTTTTCTCCACCAGCTGGTTCCTCTTCTCCAGCCAGCAAAACCACCAGCTGGTCCTCTTCCTGCTTGAGGCTTTCAACAACATTGTTCAGTACCAGTTTGATGGTAGAGGAATGTTCATCTTCATTGAACAAATGGGCATTACTTTTCTCTGCCTAGTATCTCCTCTTATTCTTCTTCCACCTCTATCCAGGCCACAGCAACCTGGTCTATGCCATCATCCGCAACCGTACCACCTTTCAACAACTGGCCAGCCTGCCGACTGACCACGTGTCTATCCAGAAAGCTTTGCAGCGCAAGCAGCGACCAGCAGGGGGCATCTCTCTCTCCGACTCCCAAGAGGGGGGTTCCATAGAGGGCTTGTGCCCACAGGTGGCCTCTGGGCCAGGCACCCTCAAGACCAGCCTTGTCGCTATGCCAGGTACCACATGGGGACCATAATATTATAGCCTGTTCTTGTCCACCTACTTATGTGGATTAGTTATGGTTAACGTCAGACTGATTCTTGACAGATATTGACACGCTGATAGAGAAGTCACAGGTCTTGGAGGGACGGGTCACGATCTCGCTTCAGCCATCTGACATTCCTCAGACCCCCCCTTCGAGCCATGCTGGTGTGGCCAGTGGTAGCGACACCGAGTCTAATTTGGCACAGGACAATGAGGTGAAGGAGCTGCACAGGGTGTAGCTGAAGTACAGGTGTAGCCATTTATCTAAATACAAATGGGTATGTTCATATGCACTAAGAGCCGTTGGTGTGTGTCTGCCTCTCAGGATGTCTTCTACAGTGACACAGAGATGGAGCAGAATCTTCCTGCTGTGACGTCCACCTGCAGCTGGACCCCCACGCCAGACTGGGTGAGGTCCTGTATCCAAGTCATGCACATGCAGAGGCGTTTCCCTCGGCAACCAGAGTGGATGCCTGACCGGAGCTGTGGTACACTCTCCTTCCTGACAGGTGCTTTCCTGGAAGAGCCAGCTTCCCCTACAGACAATCCTTCGCCTACTGCAGGTGCTGGTTCCCCAGGTTGAGAAGATCTGCATTGACAAGTGAGGCTTTTTGTGAAGATCTAACAGGCTGAGTGATGACGGGTTGAATTTAATCATACAGAAAAAACTGGAGAAAGCACTCCTGAAGGTCTTATATGTATTGCCACAATGGGCCTCGATAGTCTGAAAGTATTTAGACAGTACATTGATATACCAGTAAGGTAGAAAAATGCTGTACAATGCAGGCTAATCATTGCCTTACTCCTGGTTTAAGGCTTCCCTTCGAGCTCATTATTGTGAGCGCCAGTCCATGCAAGATTTGTGTCCCTCGTCTAGGGGTCTGACTGATGAGTCGGAAATCCTGAAGTTCCTCCAACATGGCACGCTGGTCGGTCTCCTGCCCGTCCCGCACCCCATCCTGATCCGGAAGTACCAGGCCAATGCCGGCACCACCATGTGGTTCCGCACCTACACGTGGGGAGTGGTCTACCTGAGGTGCGCACAGCTGAGGGCTGGGAAGAGCCACTGAGTTTATTTTTATTTACTTAAAATATTCAAACCTGTATACATGGCAAGCCTCGTCCTGAGTCTGTATAGCTGAAAAAGCCACTTTCAGCTGTTGTTCACTGGTATGAAGTCCAGTCCATTTATCAAGCCAGTCTGCTTGATAGATGCTTCGGTAAATGCCTGCACTGAGAGATATCAAATAGTGCCAGGAGGGGGTGCTCTTGTGGTATAAAATGATCCATGACTCTGTGTTGATTCAGTGATACCTGTTGTCGTGTCACTGTAGGAACGTGGATCCTCCAATCTGGTATGACACAGATGTTCGCCTGTTTGAGATCCAAAGGGTGTAGAGAAATTCCTGGGGGACTATTGGCTGGACTGAGTAGGTATCACTCCATTTGCTCCCGGACCTCGTCTCCTCACGTTATTAATTCTGCTAAATGCTGCTGGCCCAATGTCATACTTGTTGCCCGGCTTCTAATTTGCTCTTTTGTTCAAGGTCAAAGGTCTCAGGTGGGGGAGGACTGAAGGCCAGATCCTACAGATGTTGAAGTGTATTGGCACTTCTGCAATGATGGTCCAAAAAGGCAAGATGGCCAGGAGAACATTTTAGAGATGAGGCCACCTCATCTCACATTTCCTTTTTGCAGCTGATTTCTGTGGACATCTGTGTAATATAGTCATATATGACCCACATGCTCACCTGATTTTCGCATAATTTTGGATTATTTGAACATCCCATGTATATAATAGCGCATTTGTTGCAGTTCAGTAACTTTATTTATGTGAAATGTAATAAATTATGAATTAGCTATAGGAGCCATTGTCTTGTAACGTTTCCTGATAATGAATTTCAGTCCAGCTTGTACGTTTTTGTGATGCCTGCATGCCTAGAATCCAAGTTTAGGATTTCATTGCCTTAAAAGGTGTGTTTCACCATATAAAATTCTCAGAATGTAGCACCTTGTTAACTGTTTGACTCCAGCTTGGAGGAGCTGCTGGGATGACAAGCTACTTATCCACTTTGGTGGGAAGCCCATTAACTGCACTCCTTTTCATCGCATGACATTACTGCCTGTGTTTGTCACTGAATACGTGTGTACCAGAGATATATAAGATTATTTCCTGAATTTCTGGGGAGCATTGGATTTCATGAAAATGTCATGCTATACGGGTTGGTCTGTGTTTCCTCGTTTACTCTTTATTAAGTGTGTATGACAGACCTGCCATTGCTTTAAAGACATGCAATCTATATTACTCATTAACTAGGTTTATGAGCTCTCAGGTACAGTATCACATGTCACAGTTTTTAATATGTTTATATTGCCGTGTTTGTGTACAGTAAACAGCCTAACTCACAAGTACAGGATTGCTATCAAAGATTGCGCCCGACTTTTGACCCATAAGGCCAGTGGGGTGACGACTTTCTGTTCTTCCGGGTCTGGTTTCTCCTGACTTTGGGGGGGGGGCACACATGAACCTGTTCAGTCCTGTGGGGTTCGATATAAAAGTTGACTTTCAAAATTAACCCAGACGGATATTTTAACATACTGCAGCACCACAGTCTATTTCAGACTAAGGCAGGACTTCGCTTGCAGATTACTGTTAATCATTTCCTGTTTGGATGGTGCAAAGACTGCGTAGAAGATAAATGTACACTCTCTAGAAGCACATCACGTGGATTATTGAAAAGCTACCATTCCATCGCAGAGAGCAAGCCCTCATTAATTACCAAAGAGCTCACACAAGGTTAAAACTGTGTTGCAGAAATGAAGGGACAGCAGTGGATTACAGCTTCATAAATTTCTACAACAAGATGTTACTGATGTGACTTAGACCTAAGTAAACGGTGAAGAAATATGACAAAAGCATGATTGGCAAATGATTGCTTTATTATTTATGGAGGGAGTCTATCACAGTGATGGACCACCCTGCCGAGTTGTTCTGTGATAATCAGAAAACTTCAAAGCCTTATAATTCACCCCAGAGTGAAATTAGTCAAAATGTCCAATGCAACATTGTATAAAAAACAATGGCACCTAATACCCTTATATACATTGCATATGATCCCCTGTAAACATTTTTTACCACACAGACTAATAAAAAGCGATTTTAGATTTACGCTTAATGCCTTCTTAATTAAACCAAAAACATCCAGTCTGCATAGAAGTCTCCAAAGAGCCCAAACACCTTCAGGAGAATGTAACCACTTCTTGTGGAAATCCTTCCGAAGTTTTCCTGTCTTTGTCTTTTCTTCTTCTCAAATTGCTCCCCGAAGTTATTCATTGGCTACTTTATGACTTTTCAATGAGACAATCGGCATCCCCACCCTCCCCTCCCAGCGTGACGACCGGCCCACTGATGTCACGGCCGTCCCCTCTGCCCCTCCCTGGAGCTCCCACATCCTTGGGCGGTTGGAGACGGAAGGCCATATCACTTAGATTTTTCCCACGAGCAGCACTTCTTAGAAAGTGTCCTTGGACATGTGACGCCTGTGGAGGACTTATTGTAAGACCTGCGTCATAGGCTGGGAGTTCTACCTCCACTTGCAATATGCATGAACTTTGAACTACATAAAAGGTATTTTGCCTTTTCCCACAAATGTGGAAATGGACAGTTTAATACCATGTGACTCAGATTGCTCAAAAACTGAACTCGAGTCCATAGCGCTTGTAAAAGGTCAGGGTACAATTGGGAATCTGACACACACCATGGATAACTATGAGTTTGATAGAATTGTAATGTGAAGAACCACAAACAAAAGGGTCCTCTTTCCTTACACAGTAACTTGTTCTTGAGAATAAAGTGCTTCGCAGGTGAGCTTTAAAACCTCGGCTCCTTGCAGAAACCCCCCTCATCCATGAACACTTTCGTAAGTGACGTGAGAGTCTGTCACAAGCTGCTCCAAGACGAAATGACAGACGCATTGCAGCAGTGCTGACCGTATATAACCAAGCAAATCAAAAAAAGACAAAGAAATGCTTAAAAATCTGACCACAATATAATGAAGGTCAGCATGATTCCTTCGTGTTTTCAAGAGTGCAGACTATCATGAGATAAGGTACACCTCAAAGAGACTGGCCACTGAGTGCATGCGGTAGAAGATACTGAAGGGGAGGCCGATGTTCACAACGGCTGCCCAGGTGGTGACGCTGTAAAAGTCGAACCCAAGAGGGTTGTTGAACTGGGGACGGGCGCCAAAGGCTGGCATGATCCAGAGCTGTAGGAAGACAGACAACGATGAGGATGACAAAACAAATGGAGCCTGTTGGCTTTTGAGGAGACCAGGAGAGGCACTTACCAGAATGTTGCAAAGCAGAAGGAAGACGCATATTTCCTTGAGGACCCGCCTTTTCCAGCACAGTCCCAGGGCTACAGGCATGTGCATGCCTGCAGTGATGATTACCACAGTGCTCCTCCTTGTGCTCTGCCGTTGGTGCACCTCCTGGTTGGCGTGGAGGGCGTGAGGGTTGGAAAATATAGGACTTGCATGGGTCTCCTTGAAAGGCTCCCGGTGGAGCCCCTCGATGATGAAAACATTCTGCAGGATGAGCTGCAGGATAGTGACCAGCGAGCAGGCAAGGTTGACTGCATTGAGGGTCTCAGTTTTTCCTGAGGCTATCACAGCTACCACATTGAAGTAACAGATGAGGAAGCTGCCGAGGGAGGCACCTAAGAGCAGGCCCACATCCAGGCTACGTGACGGGTTCTTCTCCAACACATGGTTCCTCTCATCCAGCCAGTAGATGACACAGCCAACAAGGGTGGTTAGAGACATGAGAGAAACGACCACCGTGTTTACCATGTAGTGCAGCATCAGAGCTTCGTCACTGTTCTCTGAGACCTTCACATCATAATAAACAAAGGTAGCAATGCCAGTCACCAGCATGATTATCCCCCCCACTGGCCCAGCCAGGATGCCCTTGAGGTGGAGGCGATGCGTGTGTTGATGATGTGCATGGGCATCCATCAGCCTGCCCACGTTCTTCCACATGACGTACATCATGGTGGCAGCAAAGAGGCTGTACTCAATGTTGAAGGGATACAGGTAGTAGTAGGCCTGCTTGAAGATCCCGCAAGCTGTGTGGCTGCACTTGCAGCTCCCGTTGCTGTTGTCAGCTGCAGTGACCAGAAAGGTATTTTAATTACCATTGGCGAAGCAAACATTGCGGCTAAGATAGCGGACACTGATTGTTTGCTCAACTTATCTTTCATGTATCATCTGTATATTCTGCTCATCCATCCCCACCCCCACATGCCCTCTCACTTGTAGTTATACCACTGGTACCAAAGCCCCTACCTTGGTAAGCAAGTTATACCACCCACACCAAACCCCCACCCTGGTCGGCAAGTTATACAACCAGTACCAAACCCCCACCTCAGTCGGCAAGTTATTGTAATGGCTCCATACCCCACCCCCCCATTCAGAAAGCTATACTGCCGTTACCAAACCACTCATCCATGTCAGCATGTTTATTGGTGGCATCCTGCATGCTGTTTAGGAGTTAATTATCATTATACCATTTTTTTTTTTATAAACTTCTCTCACGCTCCCTTGGGACTAGTCCGTGGTCCCGTCATGATTTGAATTTGAGACTCCTCTTTTGAACGCTACTGGGGGTTACATTTGCCCAAGAATTAGTGAAAAATTGTGAAATTATACCTTCTGCGGTTACAGAATGCATGTGGGACTTGTTCCTCTCATCGGGATACACAGTCTGGTGCAGTGACTCTTCTGTGACCGTTGTCATCCACACCACCAGGTTAGTAGAAAGACATAACATGAAACCACACCTGCAGAACAGGGCCAGGAGAGTGGACACTGTCATTTTGTAATAGTTAGCAGCAGATCAAGCTTTACAGCTATCCAGTGAAATGGAAATAATGTAGTCTGTGTGAAAGAGTCCTATGTTTCTGCAATGAAGCAACAGACACTGACAAACTCGGTCAGAAATATTCAACCAACTAAGGTTTCACCTTCCTTCATTGACAGGACAACATGCATGATTAAGCTACTTTCATACAAAGGCCGGCTTGTTTAAAATCTTTCCCACGGAACCGGTAATCTGCTTCAAAGCAGGTTTAGTTACTTAAAAACAAAACGTATTTCATAAATGGTCATGTCGACAGCGAATAATGATATTCGACTTTCCAGCAGCTATCGCATGACATTTCAAAGGCACATTGAGACAAAGGAAGTGTGTGTTGCCATAGTGTTGGAGAAAGGCTTCGCATACCGAGTCACGTTCCTCTGCAGCTGGACGCAGTCCTTGGCATGGAACCAGAGAAAGTACGTCTGAAATGGCAATAGAAGTGATTCAACCAATCACACTGGCACTTGGGCAGCGACAGAGCAAAACAATCACTTTGTTATATCCCTGCCATCCTGGAAGGAAAGAAAAAACACAAAAATGCAAACAAAACTGTTGCACTCACCTGTACGAGTATGAACACAGCCTGAACAGCGGGATATACGACCATCATGGGTGACTCGCAGTGCATGTAGCCCACATAGTTTGCGATCTTGAAGACGTCCATGATGAGGCTGCACCCACCGAAGAGCACTAATCCTCCTAAAGCGACACACACATAGAAATCGAATCACAAGGCCAGTTCTACTTAGTCACCTGTTAAGTAGCCTCATGGCAAAATCTGAAATCAAAAGACTTCCAAAATTTCACTGTCTGTGATAGAATTCCTCTCAGGAATAGAACCTGTTGCGTTCCTAAACTACGTCGCAAACTTGCTGTGCATGACAGTTGACTACACACACTGTAATGGGAACAATGGCTTTATATTGAAATCCATCAAGTCTCCTAAATTTGTGCCAGAAGGCTGCTGTGCTACAGAGCCCCGTGCCTGTGCAAGCCTCAACAAAGCCAAGCGACGATTTTGATAAGACATATACAACATGAATGCCATATTACCAGCTGTTCTTTCAGACAGAGGTGTCCTTTTCCTGGAGCTACCAAAAGGCAAGTCATAGATGTCCTGATCATGAGACTGTCTACACTGTCCAATGTATGCCCTTCAATTACAGCGACCATGACATATAAAGGGGAAAGCCACACACACACTATCAATTACAGGCTACATTCATGAAATTCTTTAAAATTGCTCCATCATACCTAAAATACATAGACATTTAAACAGTAATAGCAGTAAGAGATGAGCATAGCTTTAGGGTAAGCATACAGTATAAGCTAACAGAAGTGCGTGCTATTTGCCGATTATGAATGGTAGTTATGTATAAACATTCTGGAAAACAGGGTTTGTCAAGTTGCTGATAACATATGATAAAGATGATGCTGACTTTGGCATGGATGCATATCAGAGGCATTTCTATTGAATTTTGCACTGCATGCATTTTCAGCGCACCAGGATTGCCGGTTTGTGAATACTGCAGCTGTTTGAGTTTATTGTTATGTCATCTATTTTTCCAAGAAAATCGCATAACATTTATTATCATAGCACTCCGGTTAACAACTATGCTCAGAGGCACAACAACAAGGCACCTCTGAAAGTCTTCATCTCTAACAACTAATCTAATCGCCAATCTTCTGGCCCCCGAAACACACAGTGTTACAGTGTTACTTCGCACTCTGGGGCAAAGAGACTCACCTCTCAGCCAAATGGGTCCTGCGTGGGCATCCTTGTAAAGCACTGCCCTGTCCTCGTTAGCAACATAGCCCATGTAGTAGATGATCCAGGCTGTGGTGAGGAGGATGAGTGCGGACAGGAAGCCCTGGAGGTGGATGGAGGACACGCCTTTTGGGTTGAAGACTGTGCTGCTCACCAGGGCACTGACAAGGAACAGGATGTTGGTGCAGATGATTCCCGACAGTAGACAGCCTCGTTTGTGCCCCTGCTCTCGAATGGTAGCCTCGCTGGTCGAGGGGGCCAGCCTTGGCGATCGATGGACCTTCTCCCCAAGGTCTCCTGCTGGCATCACTTCACTTGCGTTTGTCATTTTTCGGGATTCTGAGGAAAAGTTAGAAGCCAACCCCACATTAGTCTCTTCTCAGTTTCTGATTTCTGCGACCCATTTGATGTGAGGCTTTAGGCTCTGATGGTGTTTGTTAGGACGGACGTCAGCTGAACCGTCAAAATGAAAGTCTCATGACAAAGACTTCAGCAATGGTCACACTGACAGCTGACACGCTCTTTAATTGGCACGCCTTTGGCCCTGTTCACTTCCTCTCCGGCAGCTAGCCAATAATCAATGGCCCGGCTCTTGACATCACCTCTTCGGGGTCATTAAGATGACTAAGCTAATAGCCTGCTCCTGTAACCGCCCCTTTAACACACATCGGGTCTCCTGTGTCACTGACGTTATTTACACATAAAATGAGACTCCACTTGAACTTACGATATTACTTTCATTGGATCACAGCCATGTCAAAGTGTATCACAACAATGATAATGTTATTTAACAAGGAAGATCATTCCCACACTGCATTACATTTCTCCAGTTAAGCAGAACATAGGATCAAGTAATTTTTTTTTACACTGAATTGACAGTCAGGCCATCCCTGTTAACTTTAGTTTCATTTCCCACCCTGATTTAACGTCAGTCTTGTCTACTATTTCCCTGTGTTTTGTGAAGATATGTGAAATCCACACCTGTCTAGCCAATTCATATAAAAGGCACTAGAATATAAGTATTAAAAACAGGAGGGCATTGCTTGTTCAGCTATTGAAAAAGTAAGTAAGTGTCATTTACTGCTGATTGTCCCTACAGTGCTATACAGTTTATATAAGACTCCCCACAGTTTGTTCTTAACTGGTAACTTATTCATTTTTGAACTTGAGTTTTAGAATCAAAGCTCATTAAGTAATTATCATATGATTTGGGTTCTCCACGGTTCCTATATATTTCCTGTTTGCTTCTGTTGTCTTTGCTGCAGACTTTCTAGCCAATCATTTCACACTGGGTCATTTGTGTATTGTTCATCAGTGAACTATAGTGCTCATATTACGAATGAGATCTTTCCACCCAATAATTTCCTGGGGCATGTAGAGGCTCAGCAATAATGCCATGCTGAAGACACATAGACCTCTATGTAAACACCCCTTTGTTGCATGAAAGGACCCCATATCAGGTCCCCAAGGTTTAGTCAAACTTCCAGGCTAAACGTATTTACATTCATTCCTTCACTTGGTAAGTGTCAATGTGTTATAATACCATCTATGTGCGATTTAAGTCATACGTCACCAGCTTTAAAATTTCCAAAACGCTTCATTTGGTGTTGCAATTTGAGCTAGGTCTGCCAGAGAGGTTGTTTAAACTACACCACAAAATGTTGTTTATTATTTGTAAATAATAATTTTGACCTTAATTGGGCCTGAACAATACACAAGGAAAATCCTAATTTTCTTAGAATTCATTGGCTAAAGATTATATTTTGAATACTTTGAGGAAATAAAATTTTACTTTATACCAACTGCCGTTCTGATTATGGGAGGCCTTCAGCCTGTGCTGCCCTCTGGTGGGTGAAAAATAGCATAAACATCCATCTTATAATTACTAATCCTAGTCAGGCTCTGGATGCTGGAGCCAAACCCATACAGCACAGGTCACAAGACTGGGACACCAGTCCACCACAGGGTACATACACAAAGTTATATTACGGGTAATTTAGAGAGCATCTTTGGGGTGCACAAGACACCCGATGTTTCATGGGGAGAATGAAAACACAGAGTGAGCATGAGATTCAAACCCCCAGTTCTGGAGGTGCTACCCACTTAGTCACCATGCTAAACAACAGTATAAACAAATGGACAAAAAGTTTTAACAAGCTATGTCTCAAAATATTTCAGCTACACAGGAATATTCAAACAGTGTGGTATAACATTAATCCCATAATTTTATCATAATTCTATTACTTCATTCTCTTAACAAACATAAAATACTCTACATGGATATTCAAGTTTCTAGACATAAAGCCCAGGAAACTTTTACTCAAAAGCAGACCTTCACAAACCCACTTGTCACAGTCATTTACACTCATGTTGGTTTTATATCAGTTATATCAGTTTATATCAGTTAGTTTTATATCAGTTGGTTTTATATCAGTTAAGATCAGTTAATATCAACATAATCCTAGAAAGAAAATGATTTATAAATGTCCTACATTTTCTGCCATCACTGTGACTGTAAAATAAAGTACAGCTTATTGAAGAAGAATAAAAAGACTAAAATGCATTACAGACAGACTTTTAAATGAATTGGAGTAAAATTACAGTGATAACAAACAACAGTCAGTGCAAATTCCAGTGCTATTACAAAATTACAAAATAATCATTATATAGAACTATATACCTAATTTTGAGTTATGGTAATCTAAGTTGTGTACAGAGAAAGTATTGATGGCATCCAAAATAGTTTTCTTTACCTCAAATTGAAAACTTGATCAAAATCCTGTACGCCAAACTGCGTAAGGAGCATAGGAGGTTAAACTAATAACTGTGTGATCACCCTACCTGGTGGACGATGGAGATTATCTCAAGCTAGCTGTCTTGTAACTTTAATTGCTTTTATAGTTGTCTATCTCAGTTATAAACTGCTGGCAGGAAGTAAGAAAAAAAGGTGCAGCTACATTATAAATTAACATGAACTCTGAAGATAACATCTATAACTGTTTCATGCTAAAACAAAATAAGACACATGTTGAGCAAAAGTCTTAAGCAGCCAGTGAAAATGTTTAAAGCTATTTTCTGGGTAGTAAATGCATATTTCCTTAGAAAGAAAAAGACACAAGACATTAGAATAAATTCAAATAAACAGTAACACAATAAAGAAATAGGAATTTCAAGGCAGATTTTCTTCCTAAAAGAACACTATTTAATTTCCCAAATCTCTCCTGAAGGGCACCCAAAAGGGCATTCATTAAATATATTTGCTTAATATCACCACCAGCTCACTGACTAACTTTATAAGTCAAATAATTTGATGAAATACTGAACAGCCAAACATGTTGTGCTTATAGTTGAGTGAACAAATATATGGGTACATTGGATGATTACCCCAAATAGCTACTGGGATGAGTTTAGGTGAGATTTTGAGATGGCTGTTCTAATATACTGTGGTACTTGGCAGACCGAAGCATCACAGTGGTGGGGAAGAAATGAGGGAAGACAGTTTTGCACAAAATTGCACAGCACAAGTATCTACACTAACATATACAAACAGGGGCTATTTACCAGAGATGTTTATGAGTCACAAAATCTGAGTCAAGTCTCAAGTCTCAATTGTGGTTCGAATGTGACATTACTATTTATCAAAAATTTAACTGCCTATTTGTCTTTTCTATTAGTAACTGATGCAATTAAATGGGAATCGCGAACAGTTTGAAAACAGTTTGTCTCATAGTTCTTTATGTCATAGAGCCCTGTTGCTTTAAATAACACAGCATTCTGGGTAAGGAGACCACAAAGGGAGCTGGGAAAAGTTGGTTCTGGTAAATGCATGTGTAAACGCATATGCGAGTGCTGCGCTGTTCAAGTGCCATGTTGGCCAATTTTGTTTGTTGGCTGACGGACTTAAAAGGGAAAATAAAAAGACCTTGTTCCTCACCAAACTGGTTCATTGGACCAACCATGACACTTGCGCCAAAAACTTGGTGTGCCTGGTTGGCAATGTGGGAAAGTCTTTAAATATCCTAAATGATATGAAATAATCCATTTCCTTCATCAAGAACTCTCTTTCCATCCTGTCTGGCGGGAATAGAGAAGCATGTCGATGAAGCTGAGGGCCGGACATCATCAACTGAAGATGAGAAAAGTAACCATGGCAATCACCTGACCTCTTTACAGAAAACATAAGATTTTGGACATAAGATTTTCATGCTCCCAACTTTGTGGGAACAGTTTGTGGATGGCCCCTACCTGTTCCAACATGACTGTACACCAGTACACAAAGCAAGGTCCATAAGGACATGGATGAGCAAGTCTGGTGTGGAGGAACTTGACTGGTCTGCACAGAGCCCTGACCTCAACCTGATGAATTAGAGTAGAGACTGCGAGCCAGTCCTTCTCGTCCAACATCAGTGCCTGACTTCACAAATGCTCTCCTGGAAGAGTGGTCAAAAATTCCTACAAACACTATATCTTGTGGACAGCCTTCCCAGAAGAGTTGAAGCTGTTATAGCTGCAAATGGTGGGCCAACTCCAAATTATCACCTATTATGATGAACGTGATGACGTAGGGGTTGCGTGAGAGAAGAGAGAGGAAATGGAAGATGGAAAAGAAGCCACATGTGTACGGTGCTCTGTGCGATAAACCGATCCCGCTGATGGTTCCCTGAAACTGTGTTCGTCCTTTTATTTATGTAATACGGACATCTCCGTGACGACCCTGCCGGGTTGTGTGTGACGGTGAAACAGTCCTCACCCAGCAGGATAAACTCGTTACCCTAAGTATTAAGAATGTGATGTCATTAAACTTCATGTGTGTGTAAAGGCAGGTGTCACAATACTTTTGACAATAGTGTGTATGTGCATGTGTTTGTGTGTACATATGTGTATATACTATTCCTGGATGTACTGTAGGGTCCAGTTAATGTTTACACCATAGTGGTTTGACGGTTTCTTTATTAATTTTTATTACTGAACATGTATGCCCTTTTATGGCAGTCTCCTCACCATTCGGTTCGTGCATGGTTGCCACTTACATGCGCCTCTATGGGGATCTCTTCTTTATCTACTAATTTACTATTTAATTATATTATTTCTTTTTTTTTAATTCTCAGTGGCATAGTGTTTAGGCCTGGATGTACTATATTTTAATGTACTACGTTCAGTGTGAGGGTTGTAGTGGTAATATTCACTTGGAGTGTTTAGGGTTGTTAGCATGATCTGGAGTTTATGTGTTTAATTTGACTATTGTTCTCTCTTTATATGGTTAAGCATTAGGCTTTGTGACATAACTGAAGTTGCCGTATCCCCTCGTTTGGGGATGGGGTTGGAGGGTGTTGCTGGACTATTTTTTCGCTCCAAAACATCATTTGCATGTAATACAGTCTTGTGATATGGGATCTATTGTGCAGTCAGATCATGCGCCGCTATATTGAAATATATGCCAACAGGCAAATCACCAGGCCTCAATGGCTATCCTCCAGTGGCGGCTGGTGAAAAAAATTCTTGGTAGGATTGACGTACCAATATATTTCCCTTCCTAGTCCAGTATAAGCATTCAAATGAACAGTCAGAAAATGACAACAATTTCACAATCATAATTTAATTTCCTTCTCAAAATCAGCAGTTTCACAGATAAAGTAAATTAACAATTTACAGCTACAGTTATTTCGGGCTTGTCGGGTCCCAGCTCCTTAACGTGGATTTTTCCCATCATCGTCCTTCTCGCAAAAGGGTAATTCAATAACGATCTCACCGAATTCGGTGGAAGCTGCCCCTCAACTGTCGTCATCGCCATCATCTCTCTCTGACTGCCCTGAGAGCAATCCAAAATTTTCCCTTTTTTCCTGTAGCAGGGGCGAAATTTCCAGCGCCCCAAAACCATTTCATTAAGCAATGCTGATAGGCCAAATCTTTATTATTTTCGCCTAGCAACCATACATGATTGGCTATTTCGCTGCACTTCTGGGGCGCTTTGATGATTTGAGAAATGATTGGTGGAAATCTGTTGGTGGAAATTCACTGTTGAATGAGAGTCAGTTGGTGGAAATAGGGTTTAAATAATTCAGATTTCATGTAGGCACACACTATTAAGTAAAACTAACATTGATAAAAAAAATATATATTTTTTTTTAGTTTTATATGCTTTATATTCCCCCCCACATATGGGAGGGCGGTGCCTGAGCGCACCCTATGGGCCAGCCACCACTGCATTCCTCTTAAATTTTATAAAAAGTTCTGGCCGTCAATTAGCCTAGTATTTATGCTGGTTCTCCATAATATTGCCCCTGATGGCATCCCAAACTCTTGGAGATACACTGCGATCAGGCTGCTCTTAAAAAAGGATAAAACTCCTTTAGACTGCTCATTAGCTTGCTTAAATTTTGATTATAAGATCGTTACAAAACTCTTAGCTCGAAGATTGGAAACTATGCAGAAGCCATCCCACCGGACCCATCTTGCAGTCAGGTAAAGCCATCACTGCTGCCTTGGCCAGATGCTTCTAGCAGTTATGCTCCTGCTTTCAGTTGGCCAGCTCACTGCACAGCTGATACAACCCCTGCTGCTCTGGTTCTATGGACTCATACAGCCACTGCTGGTCCTGCTCCTGCTGCTTGTCCAGCTGTGCCCATTGTGTCTCTTCCCTGTTTGGCCAGCAGGTATTGCTGCTCAGATGCTGCTAACTGTGTAAGGTGTAAGGTTTATTTATATTTATTAGTTTTGATCCCCTTGTTTTCCTTTCTGTTTTCCTGTTCACATTATATTATCTGGTTCTGTAAATTATCCTAGTGTAATAATTCCTAATGTGGTTAGTGTTTCATAGTTTGTTAGAAATCCCTTGTTCTGTGTTCATTGTTATAAATGGACTGCATTTATATAGTGCTCACGTGTTCTCAAAGTGCTTTACAATTTATGCCTCACATTCACCCATCCATACACTTGTGTTGGAGGCTGCCATGCAAGGCACCAACCTGCACACCGGGAGCAACTTGGGGTTCAGTGTCTCGCTCAAGGACACTTTGATGGGGTCAGGAGGAACGAGGGCTTGAACCTGCAACCCTCAAGTTGCCAAACGATAGCACTACCTCCTGTGCCACCATCTTCCCCAAAAACTCAGCCCACCTGTTGCTTATTGCTCTGTTTCAGTTGATTGATTAATTGCCATGTTCCACACTTGCCCTCTCGTGAGTGAGTTACCTGTTTCTATTTAAGTGCCTGAGTTGCCTCTGTTCTTTAGTTAGTCATTGAGTGTGGTGTGTTCCTGCATGTTGGAAGTGCTGCCCCCCTTGGGTTTTGTTAATATTTTGCTTCTTTAATAAACCTGCTAAGTTAAGTGGCTCGCCGCCTTCACTCCTGCACCATGCCCCGCCCCCTTTGCAGTCCAAGGCGCTTCAGGAGCACAGGGCAGCGCCTCCCTTGCTGTGCCGCTCTGACCTCACCTGTCAGCGGGTTTCTAACTTTCATGAGGCCCTCTCTTGCCCCAGCCCCTGCAGAGGAGCTTCTCTATCTGAGCACTTTTCTACCTGGAGCCATGACCTCCCCCTTTTTTGTGAGGTGCATGCAGTTCTCCACAGGCATGCAGAACTCGGCATAACACTGGCTCTGAGAGAAACTCCTGGACTTCACCTGCTGAAGTCAACACAAAGATGTCTTCTGGCGATTTTAAGTTGGACAAGCTTTGGAAAATGATTTATGGACAACCTTAGGAAAATGATGAACTACAGTCTCAGTGGCACAGCAACTCATGTGCCCACTGCAGTTTTCATTGCGCTACATTCATTGTTTTCAGATTATATAAGAACATAAGAAAGTTACAAACGAGAGGAAGCCGTTCGACCCATCGAGTTCACTTGGAGGAAATTAAACTTATAATTTAAAGTTGCAGGATCTTATCAAGTTCACATTTGAAGGAATCTAGGATATTGCTTGCAATACCTCTTCGGCAGACTATTCCATGCTCCAACATTCCATGTTGGACCACTTCTAAAGCAGCGATGTCCTTTTTGAAGGAAGGTGATCAAAGCTAGACACAGCATTGAAAGGGAGGTCTTACCAGGGGAATTACCTCCCTTGATTTAAACTGGAGATGTAGCCTAGCATCCTGTTTGCCTATTTCCTCGCATTGGCAAGAGTGAGACATGGAAGTTTCTCCTAATCAGCTCCCTTAATTTCAGATGAGCCCATAAAATATCTTTACTTTATATTTCTTCTCTCTACATGGGTTACCTTTCTTTTGTCTTTGTTATTAATAAGCACCAATTGACTTACAGAAATTTATAATAGTGGGGAAATCTTTCATGGAAGCTGACATTTCTTTGAGTGCTTACATTGTTTTGTAGCCTATATTTATGTATATATATATATATATATATATATATTATCCTGGATAGTGTCTTTAAAATAAAGTGATTCTTTTTATTGCAGAAAAAAACGAGGATAAACATATCAGTACAAAACAATTCTGAACAATGTAGCTTGGTGACTATGAAAATATATCCACTGTTATTCATATTGCACTGCTGCCAGTTTATTACAACATGACATGACATACTGTAGGCTCCTGCAAGGCATTCGTTCCTCTCTAAGTAGTAAATCTTCTTAAGTATTTTTAACAATCAGCATAGTAAACTATAATTACGTTAACGTCAACTTTACATTGATTGTATACTTCCCCATCGTATAACACGAAGTAAATCATAAGTCAGTGCATTCTAGGCAGAAAAAAGACATTGCTTTATTCAGTTGACTGAGATGAATTACAGCTGTTCACGTCTCATCTCAGTATTTTCACATTTATTTGTATTTATTTTTGATCCGTGAAACAATTAAATTGTCAAAATTATACAATACTTTTAAAAAGTTCATATAAAACCTATGTGTTTTTCATTATTTTGAATAGTGTTTTGCTGCAAATAGCCTCCATGCATACAGGTAATAACTGGGTTGCATGAAAATGGAATAACGGGGACCATTAACGCGCCTGTTAGGACCCGGGGGATGCTGTGGGGTATCCCTTCATCGAAACCACTCCCCATTTAGGGGCGTCCGGGTGGCCATAGAGACAGGTCGGCACCTCACCGCGCTTTAAGCCGGTCGATCCTTCTTGGATGGGGGGCTAGCTCTCCTGATTCTCCTTAGTGCCAGATGGTCGACTGTAAGGGGGAGAAGTTCGCCAGGCACAATGAGCGACAGGTACCACAAGGCGGCCCGGGACGGGTACTTGGACTTACTGAAGGAGGCGACACGGAAGGACCTGAACGCTCCCGACGAAGATGGCATGACACCTACGCTATGGGCCGCTTACCACGGAAACCTAGAGGCTCTGCGTCTTATAGTGGGCAGGGGGTGAGTGTGGCAGGTGTTTGCGGTTGGTAATCTGACGTGGAGCAAAAACTTTCGCCTTTGGGGGGTTAGAGGTGATCGGGGGGCGGTGGGTTCGGGACCCACTGTGCGTCACCGCGACCTTTAGTGAGGACCACCCAATATGATAGCGGCTTAACGTCATGCCTTTAAGAATATCACGTTATGCCAGACGCTGTATTAAAAGGTGTGTCTTATAATGCTTTTGACATTTATTGTACATCTGCAGTTTTGTGTCTCGCGCACTCTTCGCCATTTGGTTACATTCCTGCTGCAGTTGCCATTTTTTCTTTTCTTTTTTTTTTTTTTGCTCTGAGGCTTTTCGTAGGGAGATTATAAAATACCCAAAATATCAAACGGTGTCACAGCATGGAAGTTTAAGTGATATTACGCTCGTTCTTAATCACCCTTCTGGAGTTCCCATTAGAGCCGGGAGAACGTGTACTGACTGCCTGCGCATTCCCCTGTCTCTCACGGCGGGTTTGTGTGTGACACACTGTGCGCGTTAACAGGCATGCCCTGCAGTCACGGTTACGCGCAAAACAGGACACGCGTGTACCCGCGGATCCCACTACGCAGGGAAAACTGTCGCCGTTAGACGCGCCTTTAGCAGGCGCAGTCGGCATAGCAATGAAAGTTGCAAACATGGAGAAGGTGATATTGCATATTGACATTGTCTCTATGGTCCTTTATCTAAATGACAAAATAATCAGTTTAAATTATTCATGACGTTTCATAAAGAAATATAAACAACAATACAAGGAATATTTCTTTACGACCCGGGCAGTGTTTGCAGGCTCTGCTGAGATTTAAGTACCGTGCTTTCTGGAGATTTATCGTTATATTACCCGTGACTGTTACACTAAAGTTCTCATGGTCGGGATTAAATTGAAGCAAAAGGTCAGGGCCTGGCTGGAGGTACTGAGTCCCGATTTCCCCTGCAAGCGAAGAAACTAACACCAGTCTCAGTATCTCCTTCACTGTTCATACAGTGAAGTGTGCATTTATTTTTGCAGTATCACTGTAAAAATTGTCACGTAAATTAACAGTAAACTACTGGCAGCAGAGTTGCCCATAGTTTGTTAATTTTACAGTTCATCCACTGTAATCTACTTTACAGTATGTTACTGTTATAATGCCATAAAGAATCCCAATACTTATCTGTTTGGTTGAAACAAATCCTTTGTCTGGATCGGTATTTTCTGGACCTGAACTTTTCACCTCAGTCTGTAATGGATTACTTTTGGAACTTGTGCAACACTGCATTTAAGTAGATTGAACATGGGTGCTGTTGAAATTATAATAATAAAAAAGATAATTGCAAACTACTTAAATTAGTTTATATAACATACAATTGAACTATGAACGTAAAATTCATAACTGTTCTTAGATAAATTAATTTCATGTAACCACTTGTCTTAAAATTAATCACATCCAACAATACGTCTTAGTGTAGGGAGGTAGATGGATGGAGAGAATTTATTCAGGTTTTATTTAAGATATACAACAAAGTAAATGTTACGCATATCATGTGATTCTTAAGGCTTAAAATTAAATGACTTTTACTAATTAGTACTGCAGTTAAACTTACTTAGAAAAAGCTTGTGCAAAAACTTACAAGGATTTTTAAAAATAAATTCTACATAGCATCTTTTTTCAGTGCACCATTAAAATAACAGTGAAATGATGCACCATTGACTATAGACCAGGCTTTTTTATGGGGGATAGCATGTGGCTCAGCAGACTAAGAGTCTTGTCCTGTGGTCAGAAGGTTGCCAGTTTGTGCCCAGACACAGCAGGATAGTCACATCTCTATGGGCTCGCCAGCAAAGCCTGGTACTGCTTTGCATCAAATGTTGATGAGGTTACACTACTCATAAGAAATAATTTAAATTTACCCCAAAAAGCAACTGCAAATTGTTACCTCATTTTATTTGAGCAAATTCTATAGGTTATTTTTTTCATTGCATGTACTGAATTACAGTATATTGCAGTATTTTATTGGAAATAGCCAGGTGCCCCTAAATATTGCCCAAAATGCTTCTTTCTACAGTATTATACTGTTTTACTGAAAAACAGTATGTTACTATAATAATTTCACTGTTTTTCCACAGCATTTTGTTACAGTGTGTGTATTTACTGCTGAACCTGTGCATTTGGATACGTATTGCTTGTTGGTATGAGAGGATTGCCCCTAAAAAGAGTATTATAATACTGCTCTGGAAAAAATTAAGAGACCACTCTATATTGTTTTAAAATCTGCATTTATAAATCCTGGCTCTGCTGGCAGAAAGCTACACTGCACGGCAGGCTGCTTCCAGACAGCGGTATAGAAGCAGGAGACACTGGCAATGACCAATAACCAGCCAGGTAGAGGGCAGAAGCAACTTTCCAATGCCAGAGATGATCGTCAGCTTATCCGGTAGTGCCTCATAAATTGGAGGATGACCTCAAGTGACCTTCAAAAACAATGGGAAACAAAAAGTGATGTGAAGTGCACTGCTAGGATAGTTGGAAGCAGGACTGAAGAGCCATAAAGCAAGAAGAAGCCCTTCATCAGTGAGAAGTAGGAAAAAGCCAGGCTGGAGTTTGCAAAAAAAAAAAAAAACATTTTACAAAGACGCATACCCATAAATTGAGAAATGAGTAAAACTGAAATTTTTGCTGTGGTCTTTTACTTTTTTCAAGAGCTGTATATCTGATTCTTTCGCCATTTTATTATCACCGTATGTCGGGCGTCAGCGATAGTTACGTTGCAAATCTTTTCCTGTCAGGTCGGCATGACAGCCCATGCATGCTTCAGTGCTCATGTGAGGATGGCCATGAGAGAGTGAGAGATAGCTGGTCATTCCCATGAGTCCCCCATGAGTCATATGAAACTGGACCTTCATAAATTGTCTTTCCAAGGCAATTCTCTTTTAAATTACCCTTGACCTTGCATTCTTCACCTTGCCGTATACACACCAGGCGATCTTGCAGTGAGAGCCGTATACACACCAAGGCGATCTTGCAGTGAGAGCCATATACACACCAGGCGATCTTGCAGTGAGAGCCGTATACACACCAGGCGATCTTGCAGTGAGAGCCGTATACACACCAAGGCGATCTTGCAGTGAGAGCCGTATACACACCAGGCGATCTTGCAGTGAGAGCCGTATACACACCAGGCGATCTTGCAGTGAGAGCCGTAT